GCTTGGGCTGAGACCGCCCAGAAATGTTTGTGGATGTGCCTAATGTGGCTGCACGCCCTGGGCCTGTTGCTCCTTCTGCCTGGAAAGTGCAACATGATGCCTCAAAGTGGAAAAGCCATCAAGCCGCTGAGAGAATGAAAGCCACACATTATGGGACAGGGAACCAAGGCATGAAAAGAGCATGAGTGAGCTGCTCCTGGTCCATAATGGCCCTGGACTGCCTACTTCTAGACTCCTTATTGTTAAAGAGAAATACACCCTTTGTGTGAAGCTTGGCATTACTGATACACAAGTGCTTAAATATTACTCGTAGGTGATTTTCTTCTCAGATACCCTTTTTCAAAATTTTCTCTTATCCACGTGTTTCCATAACATCTTGGCCTTTATGTGGAATCCTTTTGTTGATCCATCTATATTGTTGTTAGTCTACAAGCCTTTGGAGCTCAAGGACTGTTACTCATGAGTACTCTTCCCCAGGGATTCTGGGATGTATCCACAATAGGATAGGGGCTGAGTAAAAGTTTTGAAAATTAAATTGAATTGAGATAAGTTGAATTGAATTGAGTTGAGTTGAATTAAATGTATTCAATTCTCCCAGGCATTGGAAAAAATAATCTAATAGGGGCCATTCTTCAGTCCTCCTTAACCAATTCATTTGCTACAGTGATGTGCTGTTGCACAAAACTCAAGCCTGGAGAAGAACTCATTCTGCTTCAACACCATGGAATAAGCGTATTTATTTTGTCAGCTCTACATCCGTTCTTTTGGTTTCTATTCCTCCTCTTCACCATATTGATTTTACTTTGAGGGAAGCTGTTCTTCCAACTCTCAATTCCAGTTTCCACTTGCAGAAATGGGCACATGATCCAGGCCTTGCCATTGAGTATATTCCAACCATTTGGCCAAGGTAAGAGTATGCAACCCAACATAAGCCAAGAACATAATTCTGGAATTTTGTTTGCTAGTTGGGAAAGAAAATGCTCTTTGTGCTGAGACTGATCATGGTAAAGACATCATAAATCTGGAAGTGCCAGGAATCCCAGTATGGACATCACAGGTCTATGAATGAATTCCAAAGAGAAAGGGGCAGAACCAAAAGATTAAAGGGAATTGGAGGGAGAAACCAAGTCCTGTGAGTGGGGGTATTTCAGTACTTGGGTCTAGAAAATGATCTCTTAAATTAGACTGGCATTCATAAATATTAACTGTTTGTGACTTGGGGAAAATTACTTAACCATTCTGTTTCCTTGTGTATAATATGAGGATGATTATAGCACCTCAATTTAATCTTCACTTTGAAGTTTAAGTGAGATACCACATGTAAAAAACTTAGAACAGTGTCTGACACAGAGCATGATCAATACATATTAGCCTTTGTTAATAGAGATATTTTAATATATGGCATTTGAGTTATGTACAGCAATAAGTTCTCTTTTTTGCTTACACTGGTTTGAGCTGGGGTTCTATCACTTTCAACCAAAAGGGTCTTGTCTAAAACAATTAACATAAAGCATAAAGCCCCACGGTGTATGGGTTTATGGCAGGCCGAATTCCCTTCTGGGGACTGAGGCAGAGACGGGGGATTGAACCAACTGACCCAAGACCATCTGGCTCTCCTTAGTTGATGTCTATCAGTAATTTTACCTCCAACTCCTAGTTTGGAAAAGAGTTTCTTCATCACCATCCTATTTATATTCACAAATATCCTTATTCTATACTTCCTGCTAGGATGATTCCTTTTAAAAATGCATAAAATACAAAAAGTCTGAAACCAAACATGAGAGTGATAAAATGAAATAAAATGTTTCTACAATTAAAATGTATTTTCTATTTTTTTTTTATTTCTTAAATCTTAAGCTGGAAACTTTTTCCATACTGGTTTAGGGTAAATAATATCATAAGTAAGCAGCCTACATGCTAAATAGCATAATTTTCTTGATGTCGATTACTGGAGGGATATGCAGGGGATTTGCATGCTTAATTCCCATTAGCACCTGTCACTGGGATTTATTATCTCAGAGTTAATTCTCCACTCACTGCAGCCAAGAAAAAGAAAGCCCTGGTACATGGATTAAAATTAAGTGGGTTTTTAAAAATATTTTTCAGAGCGAGATAAATTTCATGTCTGTTCCTTAAGCACCTACAGCATTCCAATCCTGAAAAATTCATAACTAAATTCATTTTTGGTAAATATTTACCCAAATTTGATTTTATTCAACAACTAGAAAAACATATTCATAATTTGAAAGTCGGTTTTGGGGTAAAAGAAGTCTTATTAAAGGACTTAAATAAGTTTTCAAATCTAATGGCTTTCATTCTTCCACTTAATATTGAATAAGTGCTTATTGACCATCTATTATGTGCCAGGCAGTTTTCTAGGTTCTGGGGCTAAAGCAGTGAAAGTACTAGGGGAAAAAAATCCCTCTCCTTGAGAAGCATACTATGGGAGAGTACATACATATACATAGACACATGTTTACACATATGTCTGCATACACCTATATGTAGATGTGTTGGATGGAAAATCAAACCAGGTGAATAGGTGAATACAAGGTGAGGTGAGTGCTATTTTAGGTAGTTGATCAGAAAAGGTCTCTCTCTAAGCAGTGACAATTGAACCATTGAACCCATGAAATGAGTTAGCAATTCTACACTCAGAAGCCTAAGCAACACTGCATTATATCTTTCATGAAGAAAAAATAAAAGAAATCAAGGAAGGATGTGTCAAGGAAAGTTTTATGAGCGACCATTGATTATAGGAAACTCAACTGCTTGGTAAAGCTGAACTATTTGCTGGTTCTTTCCCTGTCCTAGTTCTGGTGCTATCACTCTTCCC